TCATAAAGAATATCATCCTCATATCTACCAACATTGAATGAAATCATGCATTATTTGTTTACCTTTAGTTAACCACTATCATTTAGCCATTGGAGTCTATGGGGGGTAGGGTGTTTCATGCATATAATTCCTAGTTTTTCCACAAAGTATGAACTCACCACATTAGCACAACTACCACTATCAATGATCATAGAACACATTTTTCCCTTTATCCCATACCTAGTATGAAATATATTCTCCATTTGTTCTTTATCTTCACTCACACCTCTCTCCTTTTCCTCATATTTATTAATCTTGTATTCTCCACTCATAATCTTCCTAACAACCCCAATCATACCAGTATGAGGCAACTCTACATCGTCTTCATCACTCACATCTCCCTCTTCTTCTTTTCCCTCACTTTTTTCACTCTCATATCCCCCATCTTCTCTAAGAATGATGTTTCTTCTACTTGGACATTCATGCATCATATGTCCCCTTCCTTTACATTTATGACATTGAATAGAACTGGAAGGTGTAGAAGGTTTAGGGTTAAAGGTTTTACCTCTCTCGTTGTTCTCAAATTTGCCTTTACCCTTGTCTTCTTGAGGTTTAGAAGAACTATGCATCTCTTGATTCAGCCATGACTTCTTGGAGATGGTGTTTGACCGACCTTTACATGAGCTAGTTTGCTTTCTTTTATTTTGCTTTTCTACCTTTACAGACAAATCAGCTAACTCATCTATTGTTACATATTGTTGTAATTCTACTACATCAGCTATTTCCTTATTTAAACCATTTAAAAACCTAGCCATTCTAGCCTCTTCTTCCTCCATATAGTTAGCTTGGATCATAGCCATATCCATAGCCTTAAAGTATTCATCCACAAACATGGACCCTTGCTTCAATATTTGAAGATGTTGTTGTAGCTCTCTTTGAAAGTGTGATGGCACAAATCTCTTCCTCATCACCCTCTTCATCTCAGCCCAAGTAGCAATTAGTACTTGTCCTTCTTGCAATTTATCCCTAGAAAGCTTTTTCCACCAAATAGCAGCATAGTCAGAAAACTCAACAACAACAAGCTTACCTTCAGAGTAGTTGTGACAGTCAAAAGATGGCTTCAACTTTTCTCTCTCAATCAAGATATAAGTTTGGATCCTTTGTTCCCTTGAAAGATGGCATCTTCATCTTTATACTACTTATATTGTCATCTTCTACTCTACCTCTTTGTCCCCTCCTATCTCTTCTCACCCTATCAAAATCAATATCATTAAAGCCATCTATAGGGTTTTCTTGATTTACAATAGGAGCAAGGGGTACATTTCTCCTAGCTTGGGGCCTAACATTATTTCCCCTCCTAAGTTCCGCTATTGTATCATTTTGCTCAGAAATGGTGTCCCTCATTTCTTGAAATTGTAAATTCTACCTTTCGAATTGTTGATGCATGGATTGCAAGGTAAAATCATGTCTTGCTTTGATTTCGGTTTCTTGGAGAACCCTTTGTTCATCATCACTATCTGTACGCGACATCTTAAAAAAATAATTAAATTATATCCCACAAATTGGCTTTTCCCTCCATTGTTCTCACACACACTTACCTTTTTCCTCTCGAAATAACCTTTGAACAAAATACTTTGTAGATTTATAGTTAAACCCAACTCGTATGAAGTTCTTAGTAGTAAAATATAAATTTTTGGGGAATGAATGAAAAAAGAACCAAATCCTAGAATTAGTAGGCTCAGTTGAAACAAGACACGAACAAAAAGGAAAGGACTATATATTTAGATCAGAAAGAGAAAGAAAAATTGAAATTTTTTTCTTATCTTTGAAATCTAAGATCCCCTTCTTGTTTTCATTGTTAATTTTTGGAAACACATCAAATACAAAAGAAATTTCTTGGAGAGCAAGCAATTCTTTTCTTCTTTTTTTTAACTGATTTTTGGTTTTTATTAAATTTTTTTCAAGTTACTATTCACCATGCTACAGTAACGGTTTTTTTTTTTTGGCTCTTAGTATTCAAAAAATCCCAAGAATTATCAAGAACGAAATCTTGATAGAACCGCTCTGATATTACTTGATAACAGCAAAGTCGGGAATACAAACTAAAGTAAGAATTTAAGAAGTAAATGTGGAAGCAATAACAATAAGAAATTGAACGACTAGAATTAAAGTGCAGAAATAAAGGATATGGGGAAAATCAGGGAAAGAATTCCAAGAACTTCCAAGAACGCAAGTTCTATAGCCTTGACAAGATCCAAGCAACAACATTTTGATTTATTGAAGAAATCAAACGCTTTTACTTAAGAACAAATCAAAAATAATAGATTCGAATCTTGACCGCTTTACGAGTAACTTGAGACAATAATTAATAACTAGTATTAATTGCCTTCTAAGAATACCACAAACGAATCAATGATATCACAATAAAGAAGTTATCTTACTACCTTAAACTATGAACTAGTAAAGGTTGAAAGACAAATCTCAAAGCATAAGTAACAAAGGTTCAAAAGAACTCTCAAAGTATAATATTATTAATCAATAATGAAGTACCATAACGAATGAAAAGAACTCCTATTTATAGGAGTAAAAAGTCCTTAAAACTAGGTAGGGTGGCTGTCAAGGCAAACCCTAACTTGGAGGCTAAGCTAAATACTAGAAAACCTAATAAAAACTAATAAAAATAAGAGGGTGGGCGGCCAAATCCCTTTAGGGCAGATTTGGGCCTTAAAACTACTAGTTTGGGGCATTGGTTTGGACTTCAATTAGGCTCCTTTTGAAATACCCCCTTTTGGACCTCTTTTAAGCTCATTTTAAGCTCCTCTGGGTTCCCTTTTAGTGGACTTCAAGGGCTGATGTTGGGACCCAATCTACCTCCTCTTAGACTTTAATTTGGGCCACCAAATAATTATAAAACTTAAATAATTCATCTCCTTTGAGCTTTCTTTTCGCTTATGCATACTTATGCAGCAACTGATTTGCCACGTTTTTTAGGCTTATTATCTCGATGTTCCTTCTAGCTCTATCTATCCTCTCTCTCTCTCTCTCTTCCCCCTTCCCTTCGCTCTCTGTCTTTCCTACTTGTGTGTATCATCTAGCGTCTAGACTACGCAATCATTAAGAGGATGAAAAATAGGCAAAATAATTTTCATCATCTTCCTTTTGTGCTCTTTCGTTGCGCTTGGATTGGCTCTATTTCCTTCTCCATTGCTCATTACCATTGATTTGTCTGTTCAATGGCCAGCGTGTTGGGTTGGCAACCGATGATGGGGACTAGGGCTCTTTGTTTCTAGTTTGCGGTGTATTATTAATTGCTTTTTAACCGACGATTTACATGAGTCATAATATATCATACGGGGCTAGTCATGCCCGAGAACTGGCGAGCGAAGTGCAAATACTCAAAACGACTGGTCGGATCGTTACAGTACTATAATTCTTAATAGTTAAAAATTCGAAATAAAAAAATTATTTGCATAAAATATCGTCAAACAAAATATTGTTTGACTCCCTAAATAAATTATTTGCATAAAATATAGTCAAACAAAATATTGTTTGACTCCCTAAATAAAAGGTTCATTCTTTTTACAACAGAGGGAGTAATAGTATCAACAATCCACAAACACTTAGATGTGATTTCTCTAATGGCCTAGCATGGCGTGACAATATGTAAATTAAAGTAGAATACAAGTATTGGGCTAGTAGAGAAATGTGGAAAATGAGGAATTACTAAAGTAGACTATGATTGATCAAGTTGAATTATATAGTAAATAATTGATCTTAGAGGATTTTGCTTTAATACGCGATGTAAGCTTTTGAAAAAGATGTACCACTTTTAATTGGGAAACTTACACAAATATCTCAAATAAATTTGAACTTACCAAACCTCTAGCCATTAATCATAGATTTACTAAACTAGCCAACAAAAATTGAAAAACCAATAATAGGGTTCTTTCTCTCAAAGAATCACATGCAAAAATCACCTTCCATATTTTTAAGCGTGATTAGCAACACTAGATACAAGATGGAAAGGAAATTTTATGGATGAGATAGCAAATAAGATGATGAAATACAAAAAATATATACAATATTTCAAAAATCTAAACAAAAAGGAACTTTTTCAATGGGTATAGTTGAAATTCATTTGAAAATATATAGATAAGTCAATACAAAATTTGAAGATTGGAGGTGATTTGGACTAGTTTTGTATCAAAATTCGTAATTAAATTGAGTTTAAAAAAGTCTTATGTGCCACATGTATCAAACATGTATCACGCATGTATCTCACACACATGTATATATGGATATACATGTGATCACAATAGATACAAATATGATACATATGTGATACACAAATGATACACAGTGTGATACACATATCATTTTTTTCATGTTCAATTTTTACAGAATTTTCAATTCAAACCACCTCAAAACTTCACCAAATCATCCCAAAACTGAAATTCAAGCTCCTTAAGTTGTGCCCAATCTATTCTAATAACATCCACTCAAAACAAAGCAAAAATTTTGATATTTTTTTGCTACAAATAGCTAATTGGCTAATTTGACTAATATTAATAATATTTTATTAATTGGCCAATTTTTATAATGAATTACCTATAAATGGACATAGCTGGTAATTTCCCCTTTTAATTTAAATAAGTCCATAGCAAACTAGCTCTCTCAAGAACGTACCCAAATAATAATTTACATGTTTAAATTTTGGGGCTGACTTAATACAATCTATATTTATTTTGAAGGTATATTTTAGACAAGAGAGGTTGTTCTGATGATAAGCAACCTTCGCTTCACTGGATTGTTATTGTTATTGTTTTCGACTAGCAAAGAAAACCTGTAGTAGTAGCAAAGTTTACAGCCGAAGTTAAAGGGATAGGGTTACGAATTATCCATTCTCAATACACGTGGCGCCATTCAAATGGGACACCATATCTCTAGAAATATATCCAGTTGCCAACGTGTCATGTTGGAATCCATGCAAAAAGATTCAAAAATCCAAACGTATTCACAGTCAGATAATTTAGTAAACCACATAATTAATTAGATACAGACAGCTTTCCTAGTTTGGACAGAAAACTATGGCGTCTTTGGCAACTCTTACTGTAGTTCAGCCCACCACCACAATCAAGGGCCTAGCTGGTAGCTCCATTGCTGGAACAAAGCTTCATGTTAAATCATCTCGCCTCAATTTGAAGCCCTCTAAATCCAGGTAATCTACTAGCTATTAACGACCTCCAAATAAGGATCTCGGATTTTTAAGTCATTGAATACGGAGTGCCACATTTCCAAAACATTACAGTGTGTATTTAATTTAATTTTTTTCAATTTCCTTAGTTTCTTCGGGTGTTTACTTTTTTTATTTTTTGAGTCTCCTCGATGAAAATTCTACTTCCACCACCGGTTCAAACTATATGTACATATGAAAGAAAGAAGAAAAATTAAAATGTATGTATATAATAACTAGATCACAATCATTCTGAACTATTGATTCTAAATCATGGATTCGCCTTTGTTAAGGGTAGTTTTTGGTATGTCAACCCGGATTTAGTTTGGTTAAAGTGGCAAAGTTTAGAGATTGAATCAGTTCAGCTAATTAGGGTCTTAAGAAATGTCATTCTATTCATCTGAGGCGTTTAAGACAGATACTAAAGATTAAAGTGATGGACTAGCATGTTGTTGTTGTGCTTCTTTTTTGACTGATTATATGTTTGTGTAGGGCTGGTGCTGTGGTTGCAAAATATGGTGACAAGAGTGTATATTTTGACTTGGAGGATTTGGGCAACACCACTGGTCAGTGGGACTTGTATGGATCAGATGCACCTTCACCCTACAACTCCCTTCAGGTATTATTTGCCTTTCTTCCCGTATAAACATCCCACATTCTCTATTAAAATGTTCCATATTGATTTACTTCTCACATACTGAGTTATAACTGTCCCTCCTATTGCTTTTGTATTTTGTAGAGCAAGTTCTTTGAGACATTTGCTGCTCCTTTCACAAAGAGAGGTCTGTTGCTCAAGTTCTTGATTTTGGGAGGTGGCTCAACTCTCGCTTACTTCAGTTCAACTGCATCAGGGGATATCCTACCAATCAAGAAAGGGCCTCAACTTCCACCAAAGCTCGGGCCACGTGGCAAGATCTAATTGCTTTTCCATCCAAATTTCTTGACCTTCATTTCGTAATTGATGTACTATCTATCACAGCTTGTAAGTATAAATTGAAGCCTTTCTCAGACCTCTTTTCAACAAGTAAATCTTCTAGCAAATTTGATGCATTGCTTTCTGACTTTGTATGATATTTTATTCATCTTTAACTCAATGGTTCACCAATAAAGGAAATGCTACTGCAAATTATATGGACTCCAAATATGTATTACAGACTTTCTATCCAATAAATCTGAAGACCAAAGGCCATACAACTTAGGATAGGACTATTTGAAAAATGTCCAAAAATTCTCATTGTTCTTTAACGAGGTAACGTCTTGTACAGAGTAAATCACTTCAAAAGAAGTGCCACAGACCCAGTAGGTCTACTAACTTTTCCCTACTTACAAAAAGGAATGGCTTAGTTAAATCCTAGATGGTTGTGATCCATCTCAACATGTACATTGAGGCTGAGCTCTCACAGTTCAATGAGTTAATTAATATTCTGCAGTGCCATCAGTTAGTGGCGGGCTGTTGGACTTCTACACATACCTAAGTTCTCTAGGTAAGAAAATCTCTTGTTGGTGACTATGTTAGGAGGTTTGCATAGAAACTTCGGATCAACATCTTTAGTTGAGTCCTCCTTCAAATCTTTCTTTGTGTTGTTATCTTCTTGGTCCACTGTCCAACCAATGAAGTCCAATAGTGTTTTCCCTACTTCTTCTGTATCTGGTAGTGATCTCTTTACTTCTCCATTGGAAGGATTTTGGACCGTAGCATCTGATTGTAGAACGTCTTCAATTCGCGACATGATGGTGAATGCCCTGCTTTCTATTATTCTTGAATAACTTTCTAAAACAGCTTGCCCCAGATCCTGCAAAATCAAGAAAATTGTTTCATTATTTATGTAGAAGTCCAAGAACTAGATCCTCTATAATATTGAAGTTCTTTGTTTAGCCATGTGTAGCCAAAATAGAAACTATGAAACAAGACGAGGAACAACGAATAGAATATGGATAATCTCAAAAAATCTAGATTCTCTTGAATATGAAAATTTGAAAGTAAATGTTGCAACATGCAGCTTCTTACTCTGTTGTATTGGATTTTACTAATGTCTAATGTTGACTGAGGAATTCCAGGGAAACGCTGCTTAAGAATCAGCAGGACAAGCTCAGCTCTTTCTTCGAATATTTCTCTCTTCTCAAAGCTAACAGCTGAACCCCAGGCTGATTTCCCATCTTTAGCATTCATCTTTCTTCTCCAAATAACTACAGAAGCCTCAATCCTGTTCTTGAGATCTACAATTTTATGCTCCGAAGACAAGTCCATAGTTGTGAAGAAGTAATCCGGATCAAAGTACTCGTCAGTGATGCTTTTGTATATTGAATCTCCTAGGCTTGCTCTCCCTTTCTAAACACAGTAAGAGAAGAAATGTTATTCAAGATCACAAGCTTGAAGTAAGTTTAAAAAAGGATAATTATATTTTTGGGCCGCCCAAAAAAATAATAGCCGGCAAATGTATATGTTTTGCATATTAAGTATAAATATACATATAATATACATAATCAACAACAACAACAACAAACCCAGTGTAATCCTACAAGTGGGGTCTGGGGAGGGTGGTGTGTACGCCGACCTTACCTCTACCTTTAAGAAGGCAGAGAGGCTATTTCCGTAGACCATCAGCTCAATAATATACATAAGGGCAGCCCGATGCACTAAGCTCCTACTATGCGCGGGATCCGGGGAAGGACCGGACCACAGGGGTCTATAGTATGCAGGCTTACCTTGCATTTCTGCAAGAGGCTGTTTCAACGGCTTGAACCTGTGACCTCCTAGTCACATAGCAGCAACTTTACCAGATACGCCAAGGCTCCCCTTCGGCTCAATAATATATATAATCAGTGTATATGTTTGTTTACTTGGGCTACCTCCCGTAATTATTTTCAACAGCGGTGCTAAAATTCAAGGAAAAAAAAAAACTTAAAAAGAGTGAGATTCAGGATCTATTTCCTTTCTTATACCTTAGGTAGGGATTCTATATAACTTTCTGGGATCTCCATTTCTGACAGGACTTGTGCATTTATAGCCATGGCTGCTTTATGAACTTGATTTACTGAATCCTTCTGAAATTGCAGCCATTTCCTCATAGGATCAGATAAGCCGTTAGGAGGAACCTTAGGAGTCGGTATCCACCATTTGTCATCATTCCTGCTGTTTTTTCCATCCTCTGATTGATCATCTTTTGATACATAGGAGAACTCATTTTGATCCTTAAAGCTATCTAAGCAATCCTGTTGATTATTAAACAAGACATAAACATCAATGAGGAAACAATTCTACAATGACACAAGGAAAATGAAAAACAAAAGAACTTCATATTTCTTACAATAAGCATTGCATCTAGCTTGCGTAGTGCTGGTATGTTCATTTGAAGATCGGATCGCTGCTTTGTTACCATAACCTGTAAATAAATGAATGTATGATTCTTCTTGTTTTTAGGTAGATATATGGAATATACAACAAAGAGTTCGAGCGACAGAGGTATACCTCCATGTTTGTTCCATCTTTTGATTTTTGATTACAAGGAACAAATTCAACAATGTGATCTGTGACTGATAAAAGCCAACCAATTTCTTTTCTCCATTTGGCTTTTGTCTCGGCGGGCATTGGCTCTAATCTCTTCAGTTCTCCAAAAACGGAAGCTGCATTTTGTGAAAAAGAAAGAAAAATATAGAAAAAAAAGAATACTTATATACAAGAAATCTTCATATAATCTTTCTAAAAAATTAACATGCCAGACATTGATAAGAAAAGTTGAGTTTTTTTTCTCTGATCTTGTGAAATTCACAAGCAGTTGAATTAAGACTTTGTAGTTATACTCATCTGCCGTTAAAGTTTTGACCTCGTTAAGAAAAGTCTTGAGAAAATAGCCTCCGGTCATATGGTGATCGCCAACATTTGTCACAAAACCTGACAGATCACCAGGATTTTCCTAACGATCACCATAATTAAGGGAAATTTTGCAATCGCCATGAGCGCTTCCTAAAATTCTGGCCCGAGGCTATTTTCCCAAAAAAAAATTAACGAAGTCAAAATTTAAACGGTGGTCCTAAAATAGTCCATCTAGCGTAATTTCTTGAATATTTTTTGTTAATGAGGCCATTGAGTCAGATTACCTGCTAGGTTTGTGATTGAATTTGACAAAGCCAGCGCAGAAGAGACACCCTTTCCTCCACCAGACATATCCTCGCCAAGGAGCAACTTTGCAAACTTTTCCTTCATTAGCTCCATATCTAAAATAGAAGCCAAAGAGTTACATGTGTCAACAATGTGGTAAAAGCATATAATATGGACAAACCCCCAAAGGAGAAATGGAACATTTTGTTTGCTTTTGGCAGATCATGTTAAACGCTACAACAATAACAAACCCAGTGAAATCCTATAAGTAGGGTTTGGAAAGGATAATGCGTACTCAGATCTTATCCCTACCTTGGCTAGGTAGAGAGGCTATTTACGAAAGACCCTCGACTCGAGGGTAATCATATTAAATGCTACAGACATGTTAAAATATTTGAGGCTCTCAAACATTTCACCAGGTTTTGTCCATAACTTAAGGCCAAAAATGGAGACATAGAGGAAGGAGTGGCTAGAAATACAAATTCCTTTGAAAACCAGCCACAATCAATGACCTTAGGAGCTTTAACAATTAGCCAAGTTTTTCATATTTGTGTTTCCTGAAGAAAGAACAAAATCAAGAATCAAAAAGGAGAGGAAAATAATTTACCTGAAGGCTGGTTCTGTTGGGCACGAGGGCTAGACTCGACACCTGAATCATTAGCCATACGAGACTTGAAAGTCTCATTACGTTTAAGCGCCCTGCACCCAGCCATTGAATTGTTTTTCGTCTCAAGAATCATTCTTCATATTTGTCTGTCTTTAAATTTCACACATTCTATTAATAACATGACAGGGCAATAACTCTAGATCTCATTATCAACGTAGAGTGCTCGAACCAATGTTTTTCTTAATTAAGAAATGAAACTTGTGACCATTAACCAAGAAAAAGATATGGGGTTAGAGGTGAGGTGACAAACTGACAATGAAGGAAAAGTTGGTGCAGAGAAAGGGAGAAGAGGTGGAGGCAAAGTGTTTTTCCTTGATAGAGAATGGAAGGAAACTTTTTGGTGTTAATTCTTAGTTTTAGTGAATGGTTGGAACAACGTGGGGTGCATGTTTTTAAGAATGTTTGAGAATGATGGAGATAAGATGTCACCTCTGGTTTGACTAATTATGGATTTGCATTATATTCTTGCTTCTTATTGGCTTCCATTGGACAATGAATGGCTCAATTTTGCTTATTAAAAGTCAGGCCTCACAACTTAGTTAAAAGGTGTTCAAGATAAGTTCAAACGTGTCCAAGCATGAAGTTCCTCTAGTTGAAGAAAAAAAAATTCTAGTTGATAGGAAGATACCAAAAACTCGAGTCACAATTTCAACGAACCATAATTTTGTAGCACGTTATTATCCGATTTTTCGATAAAGAGTTACATATAGTTATAGGTCTAACTTAACGTGATAGTGTAAAAACTCTATATATTATTATAAACTTAACGGCAAAGGGGCAAATATACAATTATTTTAAATATACCCTTTGTTATATTTTTGGTCCAAATATATTCTTGTTGTAATACCATTGGTTCAAATATACCCCTCTTCTATTAGTTTGTCCAAGGTGAACGTTCAATCCCACGTGACAATGATATTTGATGAGGTGAATGTCACATGGTATGTCATCTCGATGCCCTTAATCCGTATATAAAAGACTAAAATTTGAAATACAATATTTTTCATGGTAGCAGTTAGGGGTGTACAAAAGAAACCGACAAACCGCACCAACCCGATAATCCGAGTCAAACCGAGAAAAAAAACCCGACTATGGTTTGGTTTGATTTGGTTTGGTGTTGGAAAAAAAAACCGACCATAATTGGTTTGGTTTGGTTTTAACTAAAGAAAGTCAAACCGAAACCAAACTAACCCGATATTATATATATAGAGAAATTTTAGATATATTTAATATATAAATATACTTATTGTGATGTAATTTATAAATATTTCTTAAAAAATTTCATAATTTTATCTTTTAAGGTATTATTTCAAGATTGGACTTAGAACTTTTGACTGCTTAGCCATTAATATTAGTAAATTAAATAATGCAAACAAAAACCCAAACCAAAATCAAATCAATACTAATGCTAACAAAAGACATTCAATTTAATATTACGAACGGGAATGTATTGAATATCTCTTTTTTGTTTTGCAATAATTTAGATAAAAATGCATAACCTATTTTTATTTTTCTTTAGCGTTTAATCATGTAATTAATACTCACTTATTAGTCTATTTATTTTAGCATGACTCGGTACTTTTAGATTATGTTTATTTTTATTATGGCTTTTTAATTAGCAATATTTATATTACATAATTTTATTATCTTTATTGTTAAATATTTTAGGATAATGCCATGACACATATCATATTTTGTATTATTTTCTTGGAAAATACTTTATATAGTTGTATCTTACTAGGATTAAAGAAATATTTTGAGCATACGTTATATGTTTTGTTCTACGAAGATTTTACCGGGAAAAAAGAGCCCGAAAAAATCCGAATAACCCGAAAATCCGAGAAAACCCGAGAAAAACCAAGATTGAAAAATCCGAGATTTATTGGTTTGGTCTTTAGATTTAATAACCCGACACAATTGGTTTGGTTTGATAATTATAAAATCCGAACCAACCCGGCCTATGTACACTCCTAGTAGCGGTAATGGTGGCACTAGTGGTGGAGGAGAAGGAAATTTTAATGGTGAAAAAAAATAGAAGGGAGGGGTAAAATGGGTTAGGGGCGTTGAGGTGGCAAGCCATGTGGCATCCACCTCATCAAATGCCAGTGCCACATAAAAGTAGATGTCAACTTTGGATAAACTTAACAGAAAAAGGATATATTTGAACCAATAGTATAATAATAGAGGTATATTTGAATTCAAAGTATAACAAAAAATATATTTGAATCTTTTTTTATAGTACATGAATATATTTGACCGTTTACCGTGAACTTAAATATCATGTTGAACCAAATTTTTTTCCTTAACCGCGTTAATCAATTAGCTGCGCTAAGATCCTAAATTAGTTGCTACAGCAAACTCTTTCATTTAACAATTTTATAAGATGATTGCATACCACAACTTTTCTTATCTTCCTCGCATTTATTTTCTTTTCAATTTATTCATTCATTTCAAGTTCAACGCACTCAATCCACTTGGCAAGGTTGAGCATTTTTACCATTAAAAAATTATTTGCTCATACCAAGAGGGAATATAGACATTTTCATTGAAATATTTTATGATAGGAGTTACTAAACAGAAGGTATTTCAACGAAATCATTTGATAAATTCCATGAGAAAATCAAGTTATAAACCAAAACAATAGGCTGTCTAATATTTATCGCCAAGAGAAACTTTAAAAATTGACCAAAACTTGAGATCTGATACTTAGAGCCCGTTTGGACATAAGAAATTTTTTTCAAAAAATTTTCACTTTTTTTCGAAATCAGCGTTTGTTCATAAATTTTCCAATTTTCACTTGAAGATGCATTTTGAAAAATTTCGAAAATTTGAAAAACTCCAAAAAGTTATTTTTCGAATTTTTCACTCAAATCACTCACAAAACTTCAAAAACAACCCAAAATTATATTCATGTCCAAACACAACTCTAAATTTCAAATACCAGTTTCACTTGAAAAAAAAATTCTATCTTTTTTGGAATTTTACAATTCTTATGTCCAAACGCCCACTAAAAAATACAGAAAGTGCAAATTAGAACATGAATGCTTTGCTTAAGAATTGTATGCACAGATGTTGTCGAATCCTATATGCTGCCCTTCCTCGACTTTTTTAATCGTGTCTAATATGCCAACACCACCTGCACCAATAAATAAACTTAGTAACAGAAGCTGTCGACAAAAACAAATACGATCAGAACCATATTAACAGAGTGAATAATACTTGCCTAATGAGAGGGCGCTCACAAAGATTGTGAAGGCCAATACAAAGATAATGACAGATGCTCTGCCCACAATGCTAATTATTTTCCTTACAACATTCTGTCCTACAAAGGCCGCAATAGTGGTTACAGCAACAAAATATAGGGCTGCAAAAGAGAAACCAAAAATCAGTAAACAGTTTCATAAGGAGCTTTGAATGACGGACATGGAGGAGGACAATGTCATAACAAGAGGGGGTTGCACAGACGGTCAGCACCCCCACCTACAACCCCAGGGTTGTGGGTTCGAGTTACAAAAGAATAGCTCTAACAAAGGGGATCAAAGAGGAATTTGGGGGGGAGGGGGTTAATAAAAAAGAGCTTTGGATGTAATCAACTACACAACTAGGAACGTCCAATTTTTTTATGTTCCTGGAGGAAAATGTCATAACAAGGGTGGAGGAGGAAAATGTCATAACAAGAGTGGATTGCTCAGATGGTTTTCCATTTTTTTTATGTTCCTGCTCGTGCCCGGATAGAGAAGGGCACGACTCCCCCTCTCCCCGTTCTACCGTCCAAACAGGTCAGCATTCCCCCACCTACAACTTCAGGGTGTGAAAAGGAGCTTTGAATGTAATCAACTACACAACTAGGAATGTCCAACTAAAACATTCAAGTTTCTTCACTACCATATGGTATTGGAAAGCGTCTTAGTAGGTAATATTGTATGACGGACATGGAGGAGGAAAATGTCATAACAAAGGTTGCAGTGGCACTTGATACCTGCATTTACCAATATCATGAAATAAGCTTTATATCTTGGCAACAAAAAGCCAAACCAAAATGGAAAATGAGATGGATATGAAACCTGGGGAGGAATGCCTTGCTCTAGAAGCAATGGTCCCAAAATGAATCCTCCACCAAGACCAAGCAATCCACCAACTATACCAGCCAAAATGCCACAGCAACAGCAAAGAATCAACTGATGCACTTTCCAGATTATTACGGCATCTCTGCTTGACATGATAACCCTTGATCCATTGTACAAGCAAACTGCTTGATATACAGCAGCTCCTACAGCAACAGGAACCTGAAAAATCGGAATTATCTTAGTCAAAAGTTCTCTATTCATCGGAGAAGAGAAGGTCATAGGTCATTCGACATGGCCAGAACGCAGCATCATGCTACAAGTATCAATACCAATATAAGCCTAGACATGGAAGTACAATGCACATTAGTTTCTATAGCAAAAGATTGTTCATCAAATAAATAAAAGGCTTGCTAGTAAATAAGGTATAAAAGGAATTACAAAACATTGAGAAGCAGTGGAGCATACACACACAGACCTGTTAGCATTGCAATAACAACACATACCTGTAAGAGGTTTAAGATCCAATATGCCACGGAACAAGTTGATGAATAATTCTGTAAAAAAAATGACAGCTTTCCATCAAATGCGCTAATAAATGCAGGAAATCATAGAAGGCAATCCTAAATGTGTAAAGCCTCGGAAACAGGCAAAGAGATAAATGTAAGAACCTTGGATATATGCAGAACAAGGATAACGACCCAGACAGCAATAAGTGTGGTGATATCCTTCCAGTATACATTGTCAATAATTGGCATCTGGAAAAGCTCAACAAATTAGCACAAGAGGACATATTTTCAAAAAACAATCACTCTAAGCTCCCTTGTGCCACTTTAGCACACCCAATTTGACTACTGAAAAGATTAAAAACTGAAGTTTCATATGTTTTTCTCTTTGGAGAAAAATAAAGTTAGCTGCTCGGGAGGAGATGGGACTTAGATCTTATAATCTCTGGTTTATGCCATAGACCATTGAACAAATCCCTTCAAACTAAAGTTTAACTATATAGGTGATTTTGTATAAAGGTTGAAAGTTTGGATAAATGGCGTCGAGTACTTCACATCAATTTCAAACCAATACTAATCTGTAATTATGATTTTTCATGTAGGTGGAGAAGTAAACTGGAACAGACAAAAGAAAATTAAATTAAATCGGGACACAGGATAATCACCTCTGATGCCTTATAAACTTTTTTTTCAACTCTAGATCGATTATCTGGACCCTCAGGTAGAAGTTTGTATATTACTTCCTCACCATCAGCACCTGATTTCAGTTCATTAAACTAATTGGTCAAATACCATTACTGATATTCTACAAGATAAAGCAGATAATGAAGCAACTGACCACCAGATGCCAAGCGTCCAGCAACTTCCTGGATGTCAAAATAGATATGTGAACAAGGTATCAGAGAGACTCAATCTTCTATTCTACTCTACAAATCACAGGATAGAATAAGAGACAACCTCCTTTATTATCGTTTCTCTTTTCCACGTCTCAACACCTTTGGAAAATGCCTTAGTTGATGCCACTGCAAGTACCATAACCAATCAGAGTAATTCTCTTGATGACATGGGTAAGAATGAAGCTATAAACCTTGCGCTACCTATGAAAAGGATGATCAATAAGACTGTAAGCATCCACTCTGCAAAAAGTACGTTTAGAACAACTCCGATACTGATACCTAGCAACAACATTGGTTGGAAAAGAAGAGCTAGATTGTAATCAATAATAGACATGTCCATTGTTGGATGCCGCAGCTTTAAGTTGTAGTAGACAGTTGCACCCGCTGCACCAGTGATCATACCTTGCAAGAAAAACAGAACGCTCAAAGAAAGCACCAAAAAATGGAACTATGGTCCTAAGCTGCATGTAAATTTTCTCTAGTAAACTGAATGATGTAAGAATCAGCACAATATTGATTCACAAGTAGCCCTGGCTCTAGTAAAACTTGAATGACACACAAGGAATCAACAATATATTGATTCTAAAACCATCTAACATGCAATTGGAAGTAATATCTATCAAGAAGCTTCTCACCTCAAATTAAGTTTTGTAACAGATCTCCTGAAATACAAGAGCAGCATGGTAATTATGAACATTGGAGATCATAAACGGATTCTTACATTTCGATATTGCAGTTGATGTCTTTGGATCAAATCCGATAATTAAAGTAAGCATGGGAACAAAGATACCACCTCCCCCTACTCCTCCTGCACTCCCTAAAGCAGCAGCGAAGAATCCAATTATTGAACCAACAATTACTCTCCACCCAACTTGCAGTTCCTGAAATGCATACCAAACTTCAGTAGTAACATCTACTTTATGTTAATTTCACGTATCGGCACTGAATTTTATCACTATAACAGTAAAGTTAATCTTTGTCAAATTAAATAACTGAATTTTTTCCACTATAACAGTAAAATCACATAACTGAACTATGCGTGCATTGCTCAACAACAATAACAACGGCAACAAAAATCCCATAAGTGGGGTCCAAGGGGCAGAGAGGTGGTTTGCGATAGACCCTCAGCTCAAGCAGACGAAAATGACCAGAAGGTGAAAAACTCTTACAGTAAAGAATGACACTTTCAGCAAGTTCACCTCAATTTTGTTACTGTCATGTAATTGCATTAATATGGAATGTTTCTAAAATTCAAAGACGGAAACAGACTATGTTGAGTCCCACATCGGCTCAAAATGGGTAACTTGGACTCCTTATATTGTCTTCAACAATCCTCGCGCGCGAGCTAGTTTTTGGGTTGAGTTAGCCCCAAAGTCTATTTATTATCAGAGCCACGCTCATCTCATTATTTAGCCGATATTGGCCCCCCAATCTTTTGGGCCCCCCATCTTTATATTGTCTATGCCCCAGTTATCCAGGGGAGTTGTTGAGTCCCACATCGGCTCAAGATGGGTAACTTGGACTCCTTATATGGAGTTAGGCAATTCTCACCCCATGAGTTGAGTTAGGCCCAAGGTCCATTTATTTATAAGAATAGCTGGAACAAGGGAGAAATGGTGTTGAGGGAAGAAAGGGAAAGTGAACTTACTGGCCAAACATGATGGTAATGCATTTCAGCCTTTAGCCTCAGAATATTGAATAGGTTGAATACATAACCTGATTCAAAGTCATGAGTTGTTCCATTATTACTCAGAGTGATTCTATCTGAAATCTGCTCTGCAGACGCAAAAACATTGGAAGATAGAACGACAAAAACAATCACAGCAACCACAAATGTTGTTAAAGCCTTCAACTTTGATTCAGTTTGTGCCATCAATTAGTAAGTTCCCAACTTTGATTTTCCTTCTAATAACTGGCTCCCACACTTCTTTAGAAACATTAACTCAGTTAAACTGCAAGCAAGAAATCAAGATTATTTGCTCTTAACCAACTTTAAATATGCAAAGATAGCAACTTTGTGAAAAAGAAAAATTTCAAGATTCTTTACATTTACCAGCTTACATATGAAAAGGAAGTAACTTTGCGAAGAAGATAGATGAATAAGTTAATCTCAATTTTGGCTACTTAAATGACTCCCTTGTTTAGCTCCTTAATGATTATTTTCTCTTATCCATATTTTCTGTGTCTTAAAAGGACCCTTAATCATTTTGAAGAGCTGTTTCTACAAATCAATTAATACCAATAAATGCTGAGAGAATGAGACGTGTTTTTCTGCCAATGCCTACCTCTCTAAAGCCTAACATAGTAACATGGTCTTGTGGAAATGAGTGGCACTAAGATTATTGCGGTTTATTTGGAACATAGAATTTTATAACAAAAGTTAAGCACCACTAAAGGATGTGGTCCTCCCTTATTCAAAAGAGTCTCTAGTTAAGTCGTATGAAAAAATCTTTAGTTCCCTTATTCAAAAGAGTCTCTAGTTAAGTCGTATGAAAAAATCTTTAGTTCCCTTATTCAAAAGAGTCTCGAGTTAAGTCGTATGAAAAAATCTTTAGTAGGGAGCGTTCCCCCTCCCGAATAGGGTCCAGTGGTGGATCTACATGTTGTTTTTTTGGGTGCTCAAGCACACATTATCTTTGACAAGATTTAGTAAATTTATATATGTAATTATAAAAATATTTAGATAAATATTGAGTTAGCACCCATTATTAAACTCATTTTTCCTTTTCTTTCAGAATTTTTATCAGCGAGCACCAAGGACTTTAAAATCCTGGATCCGCCATTGATATGGCCCTATCCGGTGCAAATCCGGATATAGTCGGACTCGGCTCCAATGCGAGTACCGAACATGAAAAACCAAAAAAAAAGTTAAGCACTTTTCCAATGTCAGTATCGAATTAGATGCATGGTCACTTAACTTGCTAAAATAACACTAATGGTGGTCCTCTTTTGCTTCTTTTATTTTCAATGGCTTAATTTGTCATCTTATCCTTTTAAGGGGTGCAGGCACCTTGCTTGAGTAGATTTTTTTTCGTAATCTGTATATATAAATAATAAATAAAATTAAATATAAATATAAAAAATAATACCACTTGCCAGTACGATAATTTATTTATTTGTTCACTTTTTCGAGTTAATACCACTTATAAAAATTCTTGCGTATGTCACTGTCCTTTTGCACCCCACAAATCATAATTGCTGCTACTAGTTGTACTTGTATTTACCACCATCAAGTGAGGTGGTTGATATCCTTAATTTCACAAGACATTCCTTTTGGATCTACCTACAGGCTACCACATCTTGAGGTGTTGAGACATTTCTAAGATGAGTAGTTATTGAACCAGTATTATGAAGAAAAAAAGGAAAAAAAATTACTCCATTCCTTCACTTTTACTTGTCATGATTCAACTTTTTGAGAGTTAATTTAATTAATTTTTAAAGTTAAATTGCATTAAAGTTTCTTAATATTTTAAAATTAATATTTAACTATTCGGAAACTATACGAAAAGTACTACATATAATTTATAATTTTTCTCATATTAATATGGTAAAAAAAAAATATATATGTTAAATGCTGGTCAAAATTTATGTAGTTTGATTCTCAAAGACTAGAGTTCAAGAATATTTTAGCCCTTTTCGTTGGATTTATTAGTTTCTGACTCAATTGGACGTAGGGGTGGCAAAATGGTTCAAAGAAAACAGTTAATAACCCATATTATCCATCAAAAAATGAGTTGGATAATGAACTTTTTAAAAACGGATCAAATATGGATAAGAACCATATTATCCATTTCGAAAATGGATAACCAATGAGTAACCAATGGATAATCAATGGGTCTAACTTTTACATTTGTAAAGTCTCAAATTATGGGTTCCTCAAGTTAGGGAAACTAAGAATTCTCCCAAAAGTGATCATATGCAAGAAGTCATGGATAATATCATTACTCATATTATCCGCTAGTTAACCTATTTTTATCCGTATTAAATATGGGTTGAGTCGGATGATTTACCCGTTTTCAACCCGAACCATATCCGACTCGTCCCGCCCCGCCGGTTTGCTACTCCTAGTTGGACGTATAGAACAAATGACAACCCCAATTTAATTATGTTGTCCACCTTTAATTGAAACCAACTAACAACTGGATTGCCTCCCCAACGGTACTCGACTTAATTCTAAGACCAACCCTCTTCAATTTCTATCAAAAATTTGTTGTAACGTTGAGCCATCAGCATCAGCCCATTCTAACAATTTGAGATCATACGGCATTTTGACCCCACTTTCGAGATTCAGTTCTGATTATTCAGTTGATACCCCAGTTGGATTCGAGCGCGCTCACACACACAAGATAAATACATTTTTGGAAAGTACACTTTCAAAATCCACAACTTCTAAATTCTAAACGATTGTTGCGCCTGAATTTAATATATTCAAACAAGGGAGCGGCTCTGCTCCATTACTCTTTGCTCCAATAATCATCAATGCATCTTTAAATGGATGACACTTGCTTTCATAAGTATGAAAGGCTGAGATTCGTTTCTAACTTAATTCTCTTTTTTTGGTTGCATTCTATTAATGGTACTGCTGGAAAACAAAGAGCCTACCCTCCCAAAGCTTTTGTACTTATCTCCTTCCAAAGCTATTATCCCCTTCCAAGAAAGCATACAACATATCAAAGTGTGGCATTTGATAAAGCAAAAAAGCTGTTGAGTTTTTTTTTCTTCATTCACATTTAAAAATAAATATGGTTATTGTTTAATAGAATTAGACTTAGTTTGTTTACATGTAAAAAAAAAATCAATATTTGATGCTATGAATAAATAAAATAAAAAAAATCAGTGCACTATGCGCATATTTTGTCCTACACAAAGTAATTATCACAGTTGGTGAGGGGATTCACATATTAATAGTATGATTTTCTTGAAATAATATATCAAAATATTAACCACAAAAACAAAAATAATGTTTGACGAGTAAACAAATTTTGGAGTAGATCAAAGTATAGAGAATAAGTTACAAGGGAATTCCAGCCTTTCATACTTATAAGGGCACGTGTCATCCATCTAAGGATGCATTGATAATTACTGGAGCAAAGGTTAATGGAGCAGAGCAGCTCCCTTCAAACAATATACAGTTTCTTTGAATGAAGATAGGAATCTCCAAATATCTCACAATACCACCATTATTGAGTTAGTTGGCCAATAACGACTTCATAAACTTTGCAGTTTGCACTTCATAGTCAAATGCCAAATTCAAGGAAATTGGCAAAAATATAATATGGCAAATACTCAAACCTTGGCAGCTCACTACACTATAATATCAAAGATGAGGACCATTGCTGGTTTGCTGTTTTTCCACAGTAGTCCTCTAATGGTACACTTTTGAATAGGTTAGGCTTATCTAATTTAGCCCACAAAAATCTACTTCCTCCAACACATCTAAATAAACAAAGAGCAAATAACATATGTGAGAATGGAAAGAGGGGGCAGTTAGTATGGCAGGGAATAGGTTTGTCCGTAGCAACTCAAACATCTTGGTCACACCATCAGATTCCAGGAAACAAGACACCTTCCAAGAATAGAGCAGAGATCAAAGAACACTTTTTTTTCTGAGTATGACTACCAAACTTTACTTGTATGCCAAGCTGATTTCTTTTCCAGGCACTTCATAGGCATCTGAATTCATACTACAGGCTGAACTAATCATCTAAGCAAACATTAAGAACGGGTATAACCATATAAATATTGTACATCGCCAATCAAGCCAACTAGAGCAAAATAAAGAGACTCAGGCAGCATCTTCAGCAGCTTCACAGAAGGGCCAAGAGAAAAATTAAGCAACAGCAAGTGAATGATAAGGAAGAACGGGATCAGCAAAAGATTTACACACCCTCATTTCATTTCATACTGCAATGGATTTGGAATAAGCAATTTGAACAACCTCAAGGTAACATAATAAATGGACAGGCAGCTCAGACCCAACAAGCGATGGAAGTCCATAAAATGCTTCTTTATAAAAATGCCGAGTTGGAATACATACTTTGAAAACTTTAAGCACATCAATCTTTTCAATGGGCATTTTAAACCCCAGATAGAAGGTTCCCAAAATTTAACTTGCTCTAACACTTGAACTATCAAAATCAGGCTACCACTAATAGCCTCTCAACTCTCAAGTGACTGTCTTAAAGGCCTCAAGCAGAAACTGCTGCCTTCTTCCTTGGAGCTGCTTCAGTACCTGGACGGAAAAGAGTTTAAAGTTTATTATTATTGCACAGAAGTTAAGACAAAGATACTCTTGATCATCAATTGGCAATGCCTAAACCAACAACTTAGTCGAGCTAATAAAGGGAAGATCATTCTGAATTCCAGATACACATCTTTCAAGTTCAAGTAATACCTATTCAACCCAGAAAACCTTCTAGCATTCCGGTCGTGTTAAGGCATGATTTTGAGATATTTTTTACCTTGAAAATTATGTTTTAGATCATCTTCCAGCATTCAAATGGATACTAAAGCGAGTGACAGATGATACGCACTCATACCAGGTGGAACACAAAGTATTACTCCTATAATTTATTGAGTTGGAAAAGTACAAAAAAGCTCTAGTAGATATATCTTTTTTATGACCGAGAAATCCATATGGAGCAACCCTTAGGGCCAAACGAAGTATTCAAATCTCAGGGATAATTGATTGGGTTGAAAACAATATCTAAAATATTTAAGCATGATGTACATTTGCAACGTAAAACAACTTTTGCTAAGTGAAGGTTTAATAATCTTTCCCCATTTAATAGAGGAAAACATTCTTAAGAATACAAAGTAACCAATCACTGGAACAATCACTGGGAAAATGATTTCATAAATGTTGTAAAACAATTTCCACGATACAAAACACACACTTAATTCTAAGTGAAAACGTAAATTAAATCTGTAAAATGCAGAAACAGAAGAACTTCCACGCATAAAGGGTGTACCTTCTCTAAAATTGGTCTTGAACCTACGAGGAACATTACGAAGGTACCTCATGCGGCCAGTCCCAGTTGTCTTTCTGCGAATTGCCTTCACACTCCAGTTGTCTGGAAATCCATTCACACAAAACAAGTTCAATTCCCATCAGATGATTGATATATTGATAATTAATACTCCATTGAAAAGCGAAAAATAAAAAAGGGAAAAAAGAATTACATGTCCTTTTACGGGCAGCAGGGTAAGCACAAGCAGAGCAACGGCTCTTCTGAAGATGAAAGCTGCGCCGCCCACACCTC